CTGTATTGTCTTTATGCAGAGAATTAATCCATTCTCACTCCCAGCATCCATCAGGATATTGTCCATCATCAGAGAATGAAGCCCTAATCAGTGGATAGAAGGCTAGCCCCTAGTCCCCTCCAAAAGTCCCTGTCCTAATTGGGTCTGTCCCACTATCTCTATGCTGATGACATCTAAATATTTCTATCTACTCCTCACCTCAGTCCTTCAGTCTCCTCTCATATTACTAACTTAATAAATTACATATCATATTGCCCCCCACCACATCATATTGCCCTCCACCGCCCATGCCCTACTCCCTGACATTTCCATCAATAAAAATACACTACAACAAACACAACAATACTGTCTGGGTAATCCTTGACTCTGACCTATCCTTTAAGCCCCAAATCCAATCAATGTCAAAAACTTGTAGACTTTACCTCCATAACATCTTCAAAATACTCCCTTTTTAACTAATGAAATCACCAAACAACTTATTCACTCTCTTGTTATCTCTTACCCTGACTATTGCAACTCCCTTCTTATTGGCCTATATCTACACAGGCTATCCCCTCTTCAGTCTATCATGAATGCTGCTGTCAGACTCTTTCACCTTACCAATCTCTTAGTGTCCACCACCCCTCTCCTACAATCCTTCCATTGGCTTCTGATTGTCCAACAAATACAATTTTAAATACTAAGAACAACATACAAAGCCACTCACAACTCTACCCTGATCTACATCACCAATCTTGTTTCAAAGTCCTCTCCGCTCCTTCCAAGACCTTCTGCTCTTTAGCCCCCTTGTCTCCTCCTCTCATGTTCATCTCCAGGACTTCTCCAGAGCCTCTCCCATCCTATGGAACTCTCTACCCAAATCTGTCTGGCTATCTCCTACTCTGAGCTACCTCCCATAATGGCCCACAGTGTCCCCAGACCCCCTGAGATCCCTCAGCCTCCACAGTGACCCCCAACCTCCCACAGTGCCCCTAAGCTGCTGCATAGCCTTTAGCCTTCCCCAACCTCCATCCCCCTCACAGGAACACCTAACCTAATCCAAAGCCTCCCAACATTTCAGTTCCTTTTTTTTTTTCCATTCCTATACATTTATTTTGTGAGTATAAACTTTATTCTTTATTGTTGGGACATGGAAGATTGTAGAAAGATTTACCGAGGTTAAGATCCACTGCTGTACAATTCGAATGTGTGAAGGTATAAAAAAAATTGCATTATGGCCACTAGATGGCACTGACTATCACAGGAAATAAGTATGCTCCTCAGCACCATCTATTGGCCATAATACAGTGTTTTCCCCATTGAATCATTCAAATTGCAGAGAAAATATCCTGAGAACATTTGCTTTTGCCTCATTCTCACAGAATTAATTTATATGCAGTTTCAATCGAGAAACAGCTATGGACAATTCCTATAAACACACTCCTAAATCACTGATATGGCTAAACTTGCTCAAGAGAGGGTGAGAGCATTTGTCACTTTGGTTTCTTCCAATTTAACAGCAACCAAGATGTAATTCCAGTTTTGGAAGGATATGGGCTACAAGGATGATCTATAATGAGATGGACTGAATGACTCACATAACCTCGTATTATGTATAATCTCTTTTTATTAAAGGTTTTCAGGTTACAATAAAAGACTTTTCAAATGAGGAAATGACATAATAATGAGAAAAAAAACATACAGCATATATTGATTTAGATCTCATAAATGCAGTAGCTTATATATAGACTAAGCAGTGGTAAAACTTAGGGGTTCACAGACAAAAACCATTATATAGTTCTGTCTCATGGAAGACCATAAGAACAGACCCTCAATTCAGGGGTGGAAAAGTCATCTGTCAGACAATCACTACAGAGGGATCCTGGATGTAAACATAGTCAGAGGTTACTAGCATTGTATCATAAAGAGACAGCAAACAGGTATAAGTATCATAAAATAACAACACAAGGAAAGAGCAAAAACTACAGTAGGTACACAAATCATGAACCCAGGGAATTATCAAAGGGGAGGGAAAGAGAAAAAAAAGAGAGGGGGGGGGGGGGGGGGAGAAGAAAATAAGAGGGGGGGATAAGGTAATAAGAAGAAAAGGCTATCTATAGCTCCATTCCCAATGTGGAGGGACCAAGCAGAGACAGAGATTTGGGGAGACCTACTCCTGTGATGGACTCCTGACACCCTGACTAGGTATCTCCACCAAGAAGCTGCTTCCCAAGCTCTGGAGCATGAGGCAAGTGACTATACAGCAGCTGTAACTACCCCAAAGAACTAGACAACACCAGTTTTTGGAGAAAACAAGAACTGCTCTATTAGAGAAACACACTGAATTTATACAGAAAACTGTCTTATAAGAGCTAATCACATTATCATATAAAATGCTTCAGACAGTCCGGAGTCAACATAGGAATATATTATAGATGGGAAGCCATATGTTACAATGATAGTTTTTTGGGGGTGATCAAGGGAGTGGCAGCAATCCCGGGATACCATTCAATAGCCCTGGATCCCCAGATGATATGGTCCAAAACATGACATGTTCCCTGGATGGGACAGCTGATTAAAGGTACTTGGGTGCCATTCATAGAGTAGCCAGGCAACAGTTCCATAACCGTGGTTACCAAACCTCGATGAGATGTATTGCTGAAATTCCAAGGTTCCCAAGCAAGCTCCCTCTCAGTAACCACCCACATCCCATCAAAAGGAGAACACAGTCCCAAAATAAAAATATGGTAGGACAATGGGCCATAGAAGTGACTCCTAGTAAAGTTAGCAGTTATCCCTATTGGCCCTAGCCGCTATACAGCTTCATACAAATGTGGCTAGGGCCTGGCGAAGTGTTGATGGAGTGCCCAGGCTAGATGGAAGTCTGGATGGGCATAAAAGTCAACTAGTAACCAGCCCCGTCTGCATAACTTGAAAACACAATGAAACTCAGAGTTCCCAATGATTCTTCAGCAGCCCCAAGTATGTGACAGTATAAGTATTGTGGAAAAGCATCAGAGGTGTGAAAATATTCCCAGTGGAGCCAAGCGATTAGAAGTCTCTCGAGAGGTTGCTCCTCTGCATATACGTACTGTATATCATCCTTTCCATTAATTGCAGATTGCTCATTTCACAGACCCACTCAGACATAGGAGAGCAGATATGTTTGCGCCATTTCTGAGCTATCACAGTTATGGTGCCTGTAATCATGTCTCCCAACAGATACTTAAGAATGGCTTTAAAGAACCTGGGAGTATGGATAGAAGGGAGATACATATATTGGGTTGTAAAGATGTGTCCATGATCTTTTTATGAATCCGGAAAATCTTGGACCAAAAGGGAGCTGACATTGGGCAGTTAGCCCAGATATGAGCCATAGTACCTGGTGATGTGAAACATCACCAACACATGTCTGGGATGCAGGGATTCATGGCTTGAAGTATCAAGGGACATCAATACCATTGGGAAATGATTTTGTAATTACACTCCTGGTGTGTAACAGACATGGAAAGTTTATGGGTTAGTAGAAAGCATTTGGTCCAGTCAGTGGGTAATATAGATGTCCCCAGGTCTGATTCCCAGCATGCCGTCAAGAATGGGAAATTGGTAAAAGATAAAGAGATAAGCAACTTATAAATTGTGGCAGTGTTGGTCTCTGCTCTTGAAATAGCAAATCCTCAAACTCAGTGAGCAGTCTAGACAGTGGGGATGTAGATTGCAAATTCTGAATGTAGTGTGTAGAGCCGATGTCTCTGCAGCTCGACCATTTATTTTGTGGGAATCAATAGGCAATTGAGCTGGCGGAGGGAATGCTGCCATTGGTCAAAGTCTGGACCAATCTGATGTCATCCACTGAATTCTTGAGAAGAAAGGACTGAGTGTGAAGTGCAGGTGGAAATTCTGGATTAGAGAACAAGGGGGGGGGGGGGGGGGGGGGGGTCATAGGACACCCATTGGTAGAGATTCTGCACATGCTCACCAGGTAGTCCCACAATTTAAGGTGAAGGAAATGAAAAGCAGTTAGTTCTCACTACGGGGGTGGAGGTGTGGGCATACCCATGGTAGAGACCTCAGTTTAAAGAAAGTAAGGTCCTCTGCTACTGTTTTTATGCAGAGTTATGGAACCAGTCTAAACCAGGGATGCAGCCTGTAGCTATACAGTGAAGTCTAAGGCAAGTCCTCCCATAGACATAGGTTTAGCAAGGGTCATTCTACTAATATGAGCAGGTTTTTGAGCCCAGATAAAAGCAAGTCAAGATTTGCGTAACAAGAGAAGTGATTTATTGGGAGGTGGAAGGGGGGCCACTTGGAAAATGTAATGTAATGTAGGCAGGATGTCCATTTTTACAATGTTGAACCAACCCAACCAAGTGAAAAATGATCTGTCGCATTACATAAATAAGCGAGTGACTGATGTGAATATGGGGGAGTAATTTAGTTAAAATTTGGAATATGAATTCCCAATTGCGATTGGTTGCCATTTAAAAGGAAAGGTTTGGATAAGGTGAGCTTGAATTGGCTGAGACAGAGAGATGTTGAGGACCTCGGTTTTCTCATAGTTTTCTTTAAAATTACTGAGGGCCACAAACATTTTTAAAAGATTAGGTATGGTGATTAACGTGTTCAAGATATATAGCAAAAGATCATCAATGTGGATGGACATTTTGTATTCCCTATCTTTTTATCGTGATGTTGTGGATGGTTGGATTTTTCCAGTTTGCACTGGCAAGATGTTCCATCACCAGCACCTAAAGAAGCCTAGGACAACCCTGCCTTGTCCTGTTGGAGATGGGGATAGGGTCAGAAAACATACAGTTTGTCCAAACTTTAGCATGAGGGGCACAATAGAGAGCCAGTATTTGTCATGTACCTGACTTTTTATTAGTTACAGTATAATCTTTTTCTGTACCATCTTTGCAGGGATGAAAAATGGAAGTGTGACATCACACCATTTAGAAGAAGTGAATGTGGATATCCAGGTATTAGCGCGCTGCAGTGCAGCAGGAGGAATTGTTGCTTTGATGCCGGCAAGACTGGTTCAAAACAGTGCTACTTCTCCAAGGTACATGCACAATCAGGATTTGCAGAGACTTTGGAAGAATCAGCTAAAGAAATTAAAGGAGAAAAGGCCCTCAAAGCACTCCCGAAAAAAGATGTGCTGCATGTGGCAGGTAAGATGTGATGAGAAGAGCAAATTTAGACACTGCATGACTCCAGTGACATTCCCAATGACCTTAAAAGTGAAATCCACTGTTCTGATCATGTTTCACATTACACCCATATTTAATTTTTTTTTTGTCTTTGTTCCGTTAGGAAGCTTAGTTTTTCAGAGACACAACAGGAAATCTCTCTAAAGTGAGTCATTTGTCCCCTTTTTTCATGATAGAGGTGTATTGCACTCTGCAATCTTTCCAACTAGTCTGCCAAGGGAATGCTTGTGACAATAAATTTTGAAATCAGTGCCATAGATGTTCCTAGAAGTACCATTGTGGTAATAGGATCTTTGTCCTTGTAAGAGGATGGACTTTGCATAGCCTGCCAACTTTGCCAAACATCACAGCCTGAGGGGCTAGGGCCTGAGGTACCCAAACAAGTAGGAATGCACACACATAGGCTAGAATATGGGTAGAGGAGAGCAGGGGTGGACTGACAACTCATGGGGCCTCTGGGCAATAGGGGATCATGGGGCCCCCTCACCCACACCCAAAAAAGCCTATGAAAAAGCCAATGAAAGGTAACAGGGGCATCTCATGGGGCCCCCTACTGATCCCAGGCCCTCGGGCAGTGCCCTAGTGCTCAAATAGTCAGTCCGCCCCTGGAAGAGAGATATTTACAGTTAATTGTTTCAGTCACTGGAATGAACACACTGTGGATGCTCATACAGTTGCAATAGAACAGTCATTAATGGTACATAATAAAGCAATAACACATGCAGTAAGGCTTGGTTCACATATATGCATTTTGCGTTTGATGCTTCCTCCAGTACTTTTTGCAGTTTGTTTTGCATTTTTCTACACATGTTTTTGATGCGTTTTTACCACGCTTTGCGTTTTGTTCAGCCATTTTCTTTTTTTTTGTTGCTGGGCAGAAAAAAAAAAGCAAAACACAAAAATACGTCAAAAACGCACTACTATGTATTTCAACAGCTTCTCCATTGAACTCTATTATAGCAATATTTGCTTTAAAAAAAAGTCCCTGACCCCTTCCAAAAATGCAGCAGCTCAGAAAAGCATAGATGTGAACATGTTCCATAGGAAACCATGTTAAATGGACTGTAGTGCCTTTCTGCAAAACACACTAAAAAATGCATAAGTGTGAACGGAGCCTAAGGCACAGTATTGCAGCAGTCTATTACTATTATTATTATATTATTGTACAGTATTTATATAGCGCCAAAGGGTATGCTCAGCGCTGTACAGTAGCAAGGGGGACATAACATGAGACAAGACAGTAACAACACAATACATGAGGGGTTCGAGGGCCCTGCTCTTTCGAGCTACAATCTAGGAGGGAGGGGAAGGTGGCACAGGAGGAGATGGCTGTGGGGGATGGGAGTGGTGAGTGGAGTGGAGGAGGTTAGTTGTTAGGTGAGGTCGGGTGTTAGGTGAGGTTGGGGTAGGCTTCCCTGAAGAGGAGGGTTTTCAGGGTGCGCCTGAAGGTGAGGAGGGTAGGTGACAGTCTGATGGATTGGGGTAGGGATTTCCAGAGGATGGGGGAAGTCCTGGAGAAGTCCTGCAATCGGGCATGGGAGGAGGAGACCAGGGAGCTAGAGAGCAGGAGGTCCTGTGAGGAGCGGAGGGCATGGGTAGGGTAGTATCTGGGTATCAGGTCAGTTATGTAGTTCGGGGCGGCATTGTGAATGACCTTGTAGGGTTAGCAGCTTGAACTTGATGCGTTGGGCAATCGGGAGCCAATGAAGGGATTGGCAGAGGGGGGAGGCAGATGTGGAGCGCTTGGTGAGGTGGATGAGTGTGGCCGCTGAGTTTAGGATCGACTGGAGTGGGGATAGCGTTCGTTTGGGTGGGCCAGTGAGAAGGGAATTGTAATAGTCCAGGCGTTTATTACTCAGCAATGTCACACAACTGGAGTAAGACAGTGTTCCAGGCTTATCTTGCTTTATCAGAGGATAGCTTCTGCTGGAGGGGGGTGGTGTACTATAGGGTAATATGTGCTGCTGAAGCGATCCCCTTATGCTGATCTGGAAACGAGAATACTTGTTGAGAACAAGTACTGCCCCTGCAGTGTCCCTACTTGACGAGGAACCTCTTCCTGCACTGATACTTTCCCTAATAAAAGAGGGTCTCTGTCCCTCACCTATCCACTAACTCCAGGCATGCCCTCATATAGAGTCCCACACCAAGATGACTGCTAGAGGTCATCAGAAGTTGCAGCGTTCAATCAGGCAACCTCTTAAGACAACTACGGAGTCTCTTAAGGAACAGTTTTCCTCTAGAGATGTTGCTCCATCAGTACAGCTGCACAGCGCCACCTATTGAATGGAGGAGGCCTACATGCCTGACATCTACTGTATTTGAACCCTTCTCTCTTGATGTTCACAGATAAACATTCTTCACTATTTCTGACAAACATTTCTGGACTTATTTGACTAAAATCCTTGGCTGTTGTAGCAAAATGCGAGGAAATATTTTATTAGGGCCCCACACCTCGGGCACAATAAGTTCATTAGTGAGCATTTGAAGACTTTGTTGCCTCAAAAGCCATCTCCTGTGGTGAACGATTAACTCTACATTCATCAAATGCTGGAATAAGTACAATGGAAGAAAAAATATTTATAAGACAGTGCTGGACATACTGTATATGAAGTCTGGTATCCCTGCAGGTGATCCATGACATGGTGTTCTTTAAAGGCATCCTGTAGGCAGAGGCGGGTGAAGGGAAGGGTAGTCCAGATGGGAACTCAACTGCTGGATGTAGAGGTAACCATTCATCGCGGAATGTGACTTTTGAGTCAATGGAGTCTTTAACTTCTTTTACACTAGTAGGCCTATTGTGCTTGAAGTTGAGTTTTAAAAATTGTGTTATACCAAGGTGAAACCCTGCCTCCCATCTGTTAAACCCTGACCTTTTCTATGAGGATGGTTCAAAAAGTCCTAACACCTCTTCATTAATGGGAAAATTGAAAGAATTATCATATAGGAGGTTGAACGGTCAGTTCATACCTGTGCCTGAGTATTTATTAATTGTACTCCGGCTGTTTTCTAGGTAAAGAAAAGTGCAGCATAAATACCAAAGAGCGGAAAGACTGTGGCTATCCTGGAATTAGTGCCAAGGAGTGTCATTCCCGCGGATGCTGTTTTGATTCAAGCATTTCTGAGGAGAACTGGTGCTTTTACCCAAAACCCAAAGGTATGGTGTCTTCTGACCAGGGGCGGACTGACCATTTGGAAACTCAGGCACTGCCCTATGGGCCCGGGGTCAGTAATGCGCCCCATGAGATGCCCCTGGTACCTTTTCATAGGCTTTTTTGAGTTTGGGCAAGAACACAGGTGTCCCATGATCCCCTATTGCCCGGGGGCCCCATGAGTTGTCAGTCCGTCCCTGCTCCTGACCTTAGTCCTAAAAGGGAAAGGTTTTAATCTCTTTAAGAATTTACTGCTGTCTGAGTTTCCACTGGAAAGGGTCCACCTCATTTGTAGTATCTTAGCCCAGGGTTCTCCAAAAGTAGCCCAAGGTTTTACAAACCTTTCAGTATGAGGGTCACATCATATATTTTTACAAATATCTGATGGCTGATAACATCTTTCAAGCCCCCCTACATCAGGATTCCCATCAGAGTCTCCCATACATCAGGGACCCATTTATAGCCCTTTTACAGCAGAGTCCCTCCTTACACCATGGTCCCTATCAGGGTCCCCCATTACATAATGGTCATCATCATAGTCCCCCTTACATCAGGGTCCCGTTTAGAGTCCCATTTACATCAGAGGACCGGACTAATTCTGGCACTGCTCTCATTTATGTAAAAATCAGTGTTTTTTTTGCTAGAAAATGATTTAGAACCCCCAAACATTATATATATATATTTTTTAGTAAAGGCCCTACAGAATAAAATAGTGATCATTGCAATTTTTTATGTCACACGATATTTGTGCAGCAATTTTTTAAAAGCAATTTAAAAAAAAAAAATACACTTAAATGAATTAAAAAAAAACTAAAATAAAAGCAAAAAAGAATATATAACCAATTTCTTTGTAAAATATGAAAGACAATGTTACACTGAATAAATAGACACTCAACATGTCATGCGCACGCTCGTGGAATACTTAAAAATCTCCATAGGCGATGCGTTAAAAATGTTTATAGGTTACCAGTTTAAGTTACAGAGGAGATCTAGTGCTAGAATTATTGCTCTTGCGCTAATGTTCACAACAATACCTCACACCATTTACATATAACCTACCTATGTGTTCACCACTGTGCTTGAGCAAGGGGGGATGGGGGCACTTTGAAAACCCTTTTTTGTGATTTATTAAGTTTTTAAATTTTACACTGTTCTTTTGAAAAAAAAAAGTGATCACTTTTATTCCTAACACAAGGAATGTAAACATCCATTGTGATAGAAATAAACAGTGACAGGTCCTCTCTATGGAGAAATCTGGGGTCTTGTTTGAATTGGCCTTGTTTAACCATTTCAATACCGGGCACTTTTACCCCCTTCCTGCCCAGGCCATTTTTCACGTTTCAGCGCTCTCACACTTTGAATGACAATTGCGCGGTCATACAACATTGTACCCAAACTAAAATTTTATTATTTTCTTCACACAACTAGAGCTTTCTTTTGGTGGTATTTAATCACCGCTGGGGTTTTTATTTTTTGCTAAATTAACAAAAAAAGACCAAAAAGTTTGAAAAAAAAACACGTTTTTCTTTGTTTCTGTTATAAAAGTTTACAAATAAATAATTGTTCTTCATAAATTTAGGCCGAGATGTATTCTGCTACATGTCTTTGGTGAAAATAACCCAAATTAGGATGTATTATTTAGTCTGTAGGAAAGTTATAGAGTTCACAAACTATGGTATAGATCTGAATATTGATCAATCCTGAAGTACTGACAGCCAATCTAATTTCTTGAGGTCCAAGAATGTCAGAATAGTACAGATATCCCCCAAATGTGAGAACAGTACAGATATCCCCCAAATGTCAGGACAGTACAGATATCCCCCAAATGACCCCTTTTTGCAGAGTAGACAGTCCGACGTACTTCATAAGAGGAATGGCGAGTTTTTTGAAGTTGTATTTTTTTGTCATAATTTTTCGGAAAATGAAATAATTAAAAAAATTATTTTCACTATTTTTTTTTTTTTACATACTGTCATCAGTGCAGTACAGCGTCATCATATAACTGGCATGGCGGTGAACAGGGACACTGACTGGTGACAGTATGAAAAAAAAAAATATATATATATTTTAATTTTTTTATTTATTTTTAATTTTTTATTACATTTTTTTATTTTTTTAAAGATTTTTTTTCATATTTTACTATGACCAAAGTAGTACAATGTTACCATAGTAACATTGTACTACTTTGGGGAAGTGATCAGTATTTTTTTTTTTTTTTTTACACAATTTGCTTATAGCAAAGAATTACTTTGCTATAAGCAAGCATTTACCTGAATGACATCGATTCATTCAGGTTTTTTTTTTTTTTTTTTTGTGCTTAGCTGTGATTTGGCCACAGCTAATCACATGACATGTGCATGTGACCTGCTGTGACCATTCACAGCTAGGCACTAGTATACAATGGATGGCATGAATGAAGCCATCCATTGTATACAACTGTCATGTGACCTGCTGTGATTGGTCACAGCAGGTCACATGGTACCGGCAACGGGGGACGGTACTCAGATCTGTCATCGGCCGTGTCCGAGGTACACGGCCGATGACAGATCGTGCCGCTGCACGGCTCTGCAACAGCGCGTACTGCGCATGTGCGGGAGGATGCCAAATGGCATACACCCCGGAAAGCTAAACCATTTTTGTGGCCGCCAAATGGCTATAGGCCGGGTGGCTAATGGTTAAATTAGACTGGAACCGGAAGTGACATCATGATGATGCTCCAGTTCTCCTAGGCCATAGAGATGAGCGGAGGGCATCATTCCTCCACTCATCTCTGTGACAAGCAGTCGTGAAAAATGCTACCAATCTTCTGAAAGTGACCCGGCGCTGAATTTGCTACTCGGACCACTTTTATTGGTTAGAGAATTGCCGGCTGAAAAAAAACAATACTGGGGTTATGGCACATTGCTGAACTCAGGTATTCCACTTCCAACTCAGGACATTTTTTGACTATGGCCTGGATAGGAAGTAGTTAAATCAGCTTTCCCATCAGAGTCCCCCCTTAAATCATGGTCCCCAACGGAGTTCCCCTTACTTTAGATTCCCCATTCAGAGCCCCCCTTTACATCAGAGTCCACATCAGAACCTTACTGAGGGTCCCTATCACAGTTCCACCTTACATTAGCGGCCCCATCAGAGTCCCCTTTATCACTGTAAGGCTTACAGTCTGGCTGGGAGGGAGCTGGGAGGCGGAGCAGGTCTAGACGAAGGACAGTACATCCCCTGTGAATGCTGTTGGCAAACACATTGATGCCTTGTTTGTATTGTATGCAGAATGCTCCGTCAGCCACAAACTGAGGAAGGACTGTGGATATCCCAATATCAGCTCTGAGGACTGTCAATCCAGGGGTTGCTGCTACGACCCTAGCATTGCTGACACCGTCTGGTGCTTCTATGAACACAAATAGTTCCAGAATGGTAAAGTATTCATTACAAATTAATAAACATATTTTTTTACAAAGTGTACTTGTACATACATTCATCATCTGGTTGATTAAAGCTGAGCTCTGGGTAAATATTAAAAACAAACTAAAACTCATAGCAGCTCTGTAATCATAACTCCCTATACAGCAGCCCTTAGAGAGGATAACCAGGGAGTGAATAAGTTGCTTAGTGGTTTGCGAGGTTAGGAACGGGCGTATCTTGGAGATGTTGCGGAGGTGAAGTCTACAAGATTTGGACAGTGATTGGATTTGGGGCTGAAAGGACAGATGGGAGTCTAGGATTACACCTAGTACCCTGGCATGAGGGGAGGAACTGATCGTTGTGTTATTGATCTTGATGGAGAAGTCAGGGGAGGGGGCACGGGCTGGGGGGAATACTAAGGGCTTGGTTTTGGAAAGATTGAGTTTGAGGAAGTGGAGTGACATCCATGCCGATATGTCACTTAGTAGGTTAGTAATGAGAGAGGAGACTGAAGGGGTGAGGTGAGGAGTAGAAAGATAGATTTGTGTATCATCAGCATAGAGATGGTACTTGAAGCCATGGGAGTTTATCAAGTGACCAAGGGAGGAGGTGTAGATGGAGAAGAGAAAGGGTCCAAGGACGGAACCTTGAGGGACCCCTACAGAAAGAGGGAGTGGAGAGGAGGAGGCAGAGTTATAGGTAGTTCGATAGTTAGGAGGAGAACCAGGAGAGAGCAGAGTCTCGGAGGCCAAGAGAGTGGAGTTTTTTTGAGGAGGAGGGGATGGTCAACAGTATCAAAAGCCGCAGAGAGGCCAAGTACTAAGAGTATGGAGTAGTGGCTATGGTTTTAATATTGAAATGTCATATCACGTTATTAGTTTAAACTACCCTACAGCCAAGAATAAAGTTTACAGGCCTGCCTCAATGTCACCACACACGTTACAATCTGACCATACAGTCTTTGTACAATCAGCTTTAGATTTACCATAACTCTGTAATATGCACTTAATGTAACCTACTTAAACTTCCTATCTACCTAATATAACCAATTAAATTTTTATGCAGTCAGGCAGGCCTTTACACTACATAGTTGTTGATAGATCTAAAGGAGAAATCAGATTGTAACATGTTTGTTGAGCTTAACAGAGAACTGAAATTAGCATTAGCTGCCCTGACCAGTCAGCTCTATGTTATATAAAACATTTTATAACCGCCTATAAATTGTTCACATTCAGCAGAGCTTCTTTAAGCATGCCACATGTATTGAATTACCAAACAAGATTTTCACCAGATGTGGATACTGGGCATGCTACCAGGGGTGGACTGACAACTCACGGGGCCCCTGGGCAATAGGGGATCATGGGGCCCCTGTGTCCTTGCCCAAACTCAAAAAAGCCTATGAAAAAGGTACCAGGGGCATCTCATGGGGCCCCCTACTGACCCAGGGCCCTCGGGCAGTGCCCGAGTTTCCAAATGGTCA